TCGTAAAATTCTGCCAAGTGAACCAAGCGAAGCAGCTCAAGCCAGGCTTGAAGAAGGACTGCCGCGGTTCCACCGCGACCGCGGCAGAAGACTGTCGCGGACAAGTTGAGATTCAGAGAAGGTGTGTGGCCGCGGTTTGACCGCGACCGCGGCAGAGGCGGAAAAGTTCAAGGACTTAAGTGCAAAACACGGGATTTTTAGCCCAAAACCCTATTTTAAATACTAGACTTCGCCCAAAGGAGGTAGGGATTGTATTGGAGAATATTTTAGCAAGAAAAACAATTGTGAGAGATCACCTAAAACATCATATCTTCTTCTTCTTTAATTTTTCTTGCAATTATGATTATGAATATTGTTCTAGTTTATTTACCCATAGTCATGAGCAGCTAAATCTTTTGTCTAGGGTTTTGATGGAACCTATTGAGGGATGAATTTCTTGTTTATGTGAATACAGTTTGCCAGTTTAATTTCTATTTGTTCAACTACGTGTTTGTTGTAGTTAATTGACAGGATCCTCAATTAGCTGTGCCTATTTAGTGTGCATAACTCGGGAGAGAGTGCATATTTAGGTGAATGTTGAACAACACCACTCCCAAAGTATAAGAGGGATCTATAACTGCGGGTTTAAAGGCGGGATTAGGAATAACAAAGCCTTGGGTGCAATCTTAAGTGAACTGTGATAAATAAAGCTAGCTAGTGTATCTCGGGAGAGTGCATTTAGTAAATTACTGTGATTACTCGGGAGAGATTTACGGTAAGAAGAGCGTTCATTATTGATAGAATGTGTTGGTGAATTTGTATGAAACATAAACAGAAGGAATTCCATCAATAGGGGAAATCAGTACCTTAGCGCTTTCTCATTATTGTTTACAGCTTAGCTCTTTAATTTGCAGCTATTAGTTACTGTAAATCTTAGTTATTAAAAACACCATCAACTGTGATTCTCAACGTTTGGGAAATTGATTCTAAAGAGTTTAGTAGGTCTAAAGAGTTTAGTAGGTCTAGAGATAGTGATTGATAGGTTCATTCTCTGTGGGTTCGATTCTGGGCACAATACTCAGGTTATATTTGCAACGTCCACATTGTCCTTTTTATAAGGGCGTGATCAGTTGGCAGCCCTAAGCAGGTTCGTCTCGAGGTCCTTCGAGAAGTGCCACCACTTCTTTTCGTTTATGAAAAAGAAGAACGATTTCGTATGGACTCCAGAATATCAACAGACACTAAAAGACCTAAAGAGGTACCTTTCCAGCCCCTCATTAATGTCGAAACTGGTAGGAGGCGAAGAGTTGCTGATCTACTTAGCAGTCTCGGAAGTAGCGGTAAGTGTTGTCTTGGTCCGAGAAGAAGAAGGTATGCAGTTTCCTGTATATTACATACGTAAAATCTTATCAGGAGCGGAAACACGCTACCTACACATTGAAAAATTAGCCTTAGCTCTCGTAGTCACCTCTCGAAAGATTAGACCTTATTTTCATGCAATCCGATAGATGTCGTGACAACGTTCCATTAAGAAATGTTCTTCATAAAGCCGATAAATCGGGCCGATTGGCCAAATAGGCAGTTGAGGTCAGTAAATTCGATATTCAATATAAGCCTAGGACTGTAATTAAGTCATAAGTTTTGGCCGACTTCAGTCCGAGATTAGTGCCCTTAGCTACTAAGGAAGAAGTACTGGTATCGGGAACGGTATAAGGGGTTTGGACCTTGTTTACAGATGGGACTTCTAACACGAAGGGGCCCGGTCTCGGAGTAGTGTTGATCACTCCCTCGGGGGAAACCTTGAGGCATGCCATTAAGACTATACCGTTAACTAACAATGAAGGCGAGTATGAGGCTTTGATTGTAGGACTCGAACTAGCTCGGGGACTGGGCGTAGAGATAATCGAAATAAAATGCGATTCTCAACTGGTGGTGAACCAAGTATACATGATTTTCGACACCAAGGAGGAGTGCGTGCAGCAGTACCTGAACAAAGCATAAGTGTTACTTTCCCGTTTCAGGGAATGGTCAATCATCTATATCCCAAGGGAGAAAATTTTGGAAGCATATGCATTAGCCAATTTGGGATCATCCACAGAGATGAAAGGGTCTGATTCCGATACGGTCGTCTAATTGCTACATTCAGTATTGGATGTGGATGGCTACTGCGAAGTGAATTCAACCAATCTAATTTGGGATTGGAGAAGTAAGTTTGTTGAATATCTCGGACATGGTGAATTACTCGAAGACCCAAAGGCGTCCCGGGCACTGTGGATCAAAGCAGCTCGTTATTGTCTCGTTGATGGGCAGTTATACATGAGATCGTTCTAGGGGCTACTGGCTCGGTGTTTAGGGGCCTCTGAGGCGGATTACGTGGTGAGGGAAGTACACGAAGGAGTTTGCGGAAACCATTCGGGTGCGGACTTGCTGGTCCTTAAGATAACAAGAGTTGGTTATTATTGGCCTCGAATCAAGGAAGAAGTGTAACGAACGAGAGTTGTTGAAACTAGCATATTGGAAGATCAATCGGCCAAAATAACCATGAGCGGCTACGATGTTATAAGTTTCTTCCTCTTGACCGAATCTGTAACCTTCATTAGCAGATTCATTTTCTGTGGTTTCCCTGATCAAACTAGAAGTTACCAAGGAACCATGCATAGCACTGAATAGGGAGCCGGTGTATTATAGATTCCAGTCCTCTTTCTTTTTTTCTAGAAAGGTTCTTTCTTACTTCTAACGAAAGGGCTTTTCTTCGATTTTTCAATAAAGACGGGTTTTGACTCCTTTTTTATATTTTCGATTTTCCATTATAAAATTTGAAAGGGTCATTAAACTTATCGAATTAACATCAATGAATATATATTATTTATATATGTTCCCGATAGAGAATTATCAGATATCAGAAAATTATCATACTTCAATTTGAATTTTGAATTGAATAGAAAAGCAGTCGTTGACGTTTTCCCAAAATTTTCTTCAAACCTCTCTGAGATAAATAGTCTTTTTTGTGCAATTCTAAATGTGAAGTAAGTCTCCGTATCTTATTAGTGAAATTGAATACTTGAAATTCAACAGATCCTCTCTTTTCTTCTTGAGAAATAACTGAAATAGGAATATCAATGAACCCGATTATTGCAATTGCTCAGGATAGCCTTTTTTAGCTTCTAGGGTCGAAAAGAGGATTCCTCACTTCTTTCTCTCATTCAAAACCGTGCATGAGAGCGCAAGATTCGAAGGAATTTGTTCAAAAGTGCGATAATTGTCAATCCCATGCTCAGCTAGTGCACCAACCTGGGGAGCTTTTGCATCCGTGGTATCACCATAGCCCTTCATGAAATGGGGGATGGTCATAGTCAATCCCATACCACAAGGACCCGGTAAGGTAAAATTCCTTTTGGTTTTAACTGATTATTTCTCTAAATGGGTTGAAGCAGGTGCTTACCCGAAGATCGAAGAACGAGAGGTGATTGACATCATATGGGATCACAATATTTGCTTATTCGAGATACCGAAGGAAAACGCTTGTGACAACAGGCCACAATTTGTAGGCTCTAAAATCACAAAGTTTTTGGAAGACTTGAAGATCAAATGAATTACATCTTCAACATACTACCTATGTGTTAATGGGCAAGTGGAGTTAACAAACAAGGTAATAATTCAGAACCTCAAAAAGAAGTTAGAGGATGCAAAGGGCAAATGGCCAGAAGTGCTACCGGAGGTGCTTTGGGCATACCGAATAACGGCCGCACCTATTGGTTTATAGTACGAAAATTGAACGGATACTTATTAGACTAGGAATCAGGAAAGGTGAAAGGAGAAGGGGGGATAGCGAAAATTGAACCGATACTTATTGTGTGAGAGACTCACGATGGTACCACTGGATGGCTATTTCTGCCGTTTTGGTGGTGATATATAATAGAGAGCGATGTATACACCGAGGTATTCATCAGTTTGCACCCCAATATTGCTGGAAATAAATGTCTCACTAACTTAATAAATGTCTCACTAACACCCCAAGAGATGTTCCGAAAGAGACTTCTCGAAAAAAAAATTTCAAAAGTTTTTTGAAAGAATCTCAAGGTAGTTTAGAAACTTTAATTATTAATAAGAGAAAACTTTTCGAAAAAGTGGCCCAATAGAACACTTCCAATTTTTTTCTTTTCTATGAAAAAGGAACTTTGCTAGAAAACGACGGTCCAATATTACCATCATATTATCGGCCAACGAGTCAACCAACGACTTATACTTTACGGCACAATAGCAATAATTGCAAAAAGAAATAAAAGGGCGCAAGTTGCGTTTATAGGTGGGACAGCCTTAAGAATGTGAGTAAACGCCGTAAAGGAATTCGTTTCAACAAAAAATGTTGACATCACATGCATTTGACAATTGAAATTCCACTCAACTTTTGCCCGATTTAAGTTTTATTAACAAACTATGTTTAGCTCAATTAATATATTAATTTCAACTAGTAGGCTTAAGGAGTAGTCTTGTTATTTAATTGTATAAATTTTCGTTTAAAAAGATTTAATTCTCCCTCCTAAACCAAACATGAGCCTCTCCTGAAAACCTTACTTTTTCCTTTTTATGGCAGTGTGATTAATCTTAATTAATTTGTTGGGATGAGTATTTAATATTTCACCAACACACGCACGTAACAATTTTGTATCAACTACTCTATTAGATATATCGAATCATTTTGTATGGCTGGAACCTCTCTTGGTTTAAGATGATCCGCCTTGTGGGGAGGCACAAGCACATTATTTCAAACGACGTATCTATTATGATATACACCGAATTTCTCGTTAGTTGAGAAGTCAACTCAATTTATTGTCGTATATATATATATATATATATATATATATATATATATATATATATATATATATATATATATATATATATATATATATATATAT